CCCCGTCCACTCGTATCCAAGCCTGCGAGAGCAGACACCTTTTTCAGCTCTTTAAAAAAGCATCTTTCGTGGAATTAGTCCTTCCGTCTACAGATAATGATGATAAGACAAATCAGGATAAACCTGAAGGTGTCTGTATATCTACGGATACAGTATACCAGAAAGCTTTTTACGCCGACAAAAAAATCTATTCTGTTTTATTAAAAGCCGAATTCGACATCAATGGAACAAATAGCCTGCGTGCCGGCAGACGTGTCCTATTTCCTTTAATGCACGCGGAAAAGTAATGCAGCGTGCACACTTGGTGCCCAAGTACGGTACTCGCTGGGCACTAATGGGAACACACTCTTTTTTCAAGAGTACCCACGCTAGAATTCGGACACGGTACCGGTGCCAGAGTACAAGGTCGACAACTTGTACTCGGGCACAGAAGTGGACACCGGGTCCCTGTGTGCACACAGTAGTTACTAGTTCTGTGACAGTCCACCGCTTTGTATTGTCTCACTTTCCCCCAGTCATGAACCCTTTGTCATTCTTTACTTAGTTCCACACTTCTCAGAGGTGTGGAAGTGTGGAAAAGTCCGACAAAGTAAGGATATAGTCTCACTTTCCCCCAGTCATGAACCCTTTGTCATTCTTTACTTAGTTCTACACTTCCCAGAGGTGTGGAAGTGTGGAAAAGTCTGAGAAAGTAAGGATATTGTCTCACTTTCCCCCAGTCATGAACCCTTTGTCATTCTTTACTTAGTTCTACACTTCCCAGAGGTGTGGAAGTGTGGAAAAGTCTGACAAAGTAAGGATATTGTCTCACTTTCCCCCAGTCATGAACCCTTTGTCATTCTTTACTTAGTTCTTCACTTCCGAGAGGAGTGGAAGTGTGGAAAAGTCCGACAAAGTAAGGATATTGTCTCACTTTCCCCCAGTCATGAACCCTTTGTCATTCTTTACTTAGTTCCACACTTCTCAGAGGTCTGGAAGTGTGGAATAGTGTGACAAACTAGGGATATTGCCGCACTTTTCCCCCAGTCATGAACCCCTTGTCATTCTTTACTTTGTTCCACACTTCTCAGAGGTGTGGAAGTGTGGAAAAGTCTGACAAAGTAAGGATATTGTCGCACTTTTCCCCCTGTTAAGAACCCCTTGTCATCCTTTACTTAGTTCTACACTTCTCAGAGGTGTGGAAGTGTGGAAAAGTCTGACAAAGTCAGGATAATGTAACACTTTTCCCCTGGTCATACGAAACCACTGTCATTCTTTACTTAGTTCTACACTTCTCAGAGGTGTGGAAGTGTGGAAAAGTCTGACAAAGTAAGGATATTGTCGCACTTTTCCCCCTGTTAAGAACCCCTTGTCATTCTTTACTTAGTTGTACACTTCCCAGAGGTGTGGAAGTGTGGAATAGTGTGACAAACTAAGGATACTGCGCGCTTTTCCCCCAGTCATGAACCCCTTGTCATTCTTCACCTTGTTCCACACTTCTCAGAGGTCTGGAACTGTGGAATAGTCTGACAAAGTAAGGATATTGTCGCACTTTTCCCCCTGTTAAGAACCCCTTGTCATTCTTTACTTAGTTCCACACTTCTCGGAGGTGTGGAAGGGTAGAATAGTGTGATAAGTTGAGTTTAATGTTGCACTTTCCCTGAGTCACGAGAAGCTCAGTGCGCTTTATGAGCACTTGGTTTTATTTCTGTATGGTTTTTTACATTTTTCCTTTAGAACTATTTTTATTTTGAATAGCAGATATAACCATTGTTTCAATGCCAGCTGTTGAAAGAAACTTCAAGTTAAGAAATCCGATCTCCAACCAAGCTTTCATCCTTATCAGTATGGGGTTAAATTTGATAATTGTTAGATCACGCCATATATCCACTGTTTCGCAGTTTTTCCTCTTCTCTAAGGTTATGTAAATGCTGGACATAAATTATGAAAAAGAAGCAACACCACGCTCGGAGGCGAGCGGCTCGAGGCCAAGAAACATTGAAAAAGAATTCACCTAAGGGTGACTCTCTAAAGACGAAGAGGAGGGTGGACCATGCAAATATTTTAGTATTGTCACGTGCCGCAGAGATAACATAAATATTGCCAACCCTATAACACGCAAGTAAACAGTGATCCCCCTTTTCCGCAGAGAGATCTGCAGGTAGCTACTCTAGGCCGATAAGTCACAATTATTACTTTATACAGAATGCTGTATATTTTTAGACCAATTTAGGTCATGAACGTGATGAAGGAATAGAACAACAAGAATTGATTTGAGCATTTATAAACTTTATCAAGTTGATCTTAAAGCGAGGAAGATAGAACGTACATACTCTGCATTCTTTACTGCCTATTTTTAGCGTTGTCACGATCTTAAGAGACCTGACTGTTGTACCCAATTAAAAGCTCCCCGGGTTAAGGTTCTTTGTGTATTGTATTTGCGTTATAATGGGGCATTCACATTTACATGATATGGAAATTCCTAAACCAAAACGTTTTATACCCAAAGGGTTTGAATTGGGTACGACATTGAGTCAGCCGAATAGATCTATAGGAAGGAGAAAAACCCAGAATAAGACGTCTCATATATGGCACATTAAGATGAAAAATTTCAAACATAAAAATCCATAGATGAGATGACGTTGTTGAGGTTTCCCTTGAAAAATAAATAAATAAATAAACGAAGATAAAGGACTGACGGGGACTTCGTGACAGAGAAAACGTAGGCTTGTTTTATGGTCGGGTATTCAAACAGATGGCAGTGAAACAAGGCTAATATCTTCTAGTCATCGAATTGTTGTCTAAACTTAAAATAGCATTTAAAAAGATGTAAGACGAGTTGCAGGAATAAAACCAACAAATACTCCCACTGTAACTAAGGAAAGAATGTCAAGGGATTCGTGACTGGAGGGAAAGTGCGACAATATCCTGACTCTGTCAGACTATTTCACACTTCCACACCTCTGAGAAGTGTACAACTAAGTAAAGAATGACAGTGGTTTCGTATGACCAGGGGAAAGTGTGACATTATCCTGACTTTGTCAGACTTTTCCACACTTCCACACCTCTGAGAAGTGTAGAACTAAGTAAAGAATGACAAGGGGTTCTTAACAGGGGGAAAAGTGCGACAATATCCTTACTTTGTCAGACTTTTTCACACTTCCACACCTCTGAGAAGTGTAGAACTAAGTAAAGAATGACAGTGGTTTCGTATGACCAGGGGAAAAGTGTTACATTATCCTGACTTTGTCAGACTTTTCCACACTTCCACACCTCTGAGAAGTGTAGAACTAAGTAAAGAATGACAAGGGGTTCTTAACAGGGGGGAAAGTGCGACAATATCCTTACTTTGTCAGACTTTTCCACACTTCCACACCTCTGAGAAGTGTAGAACTAAGTAAAGAATGACAGTGGTTTCGTATGACCAGGGGAAAAGTGTTACATTATCCTGACTTTGTCAGACTTTTCCACACTTCCACACCTCTCAGAAATGTAGAACTAAGTAAAGAATGACAAGGGGTTCTTAACAGGGGGAAAAGTGCGACAATATCCTTACTTTGTCAGACTTTTCCACACTTCCACACCTCTGAGAAGTGTGGAACTAAGTAAAGAATGACAAAGGGTTCATGACTGGGGAAAAGTGTGACATTATCCATACTTTGTCAGACTTTTCCACACTTCCACACCTCTGAGAAGTGTGGAACTAAGTAAAGAATGACAAGGGGTTCTTAACAGGGGGAAAAGTGCGACAATATCCTTACTTTGTCAGACTTTTCCACACTTCCACACCTCTGAGAAGTGTAGAACTAAGTAAAGAATGACAGTGGTTTCGTATGACCAGGGGAAAAGTGTTACATTATCCTGACTTTGTCAGACTTTTCCACACTTCCACACCTCTCAGAAATGTAGAACTAAGTAAAGAATGACAAGGGGTTCTTAACAGGGGGAAAAGTGCGACAATATCCTTACTTTGTCAGACTTTTCCACACTTCCACACCTCTGAGAAGTGTGGAACTAAGTAAAGAATGACAAAGGGTTCATGACTGGGGAAAAGTGTGACATTATCCATACTTTGTCAGACTTTTCCACACTTCCACACCTCTGAGAAGTGTGGAACTAAGTAAAGAATGACAAAGGGTTCATGACTGGGGGAAAGTGTGACATTATCCTTACTTTGTCAGACTTTTCCACACTTTCACACCTCTGAGAAGTGTGGAACTAAGTACAGAATGACAAAGGGTTCATGACTGGGGAAAAGTGTGACATTATCCTTACTTTGTCAGACTTTTCCACACTTCCACACCTCTGAGAAGTGTGGAACTAAGTAAAGAATGACAAAGGGTTCATGACTGGGGGAAAGTGCGACAATATCCTTACTTTGTCAGACTTTTCCACACTTCCACACCTCTGAGAAGTGTGGAACTAAGTAAAGAATGACAAAGGGTTCATGACTGGGGGAAAGTACGACAATATCCTTACTTTGTCAGACTTTTCTACACTTCCACACCTCTGAGAAGTGTAGAACTAAGTAAAGAATGACAGTGGTTTCGTATGACCAGGGGAAAAGTGTTACATTATCCTGACTTTGTCAGACTTTTCCACACTTCCACACCTCTGAGAAGTGTAGAACTAAGTAAAGAATGACAAGGGGTTCTTAACAGGGGGAAAAGTGCGACAATATCCTTACTTTGTCAGACTTTTCCACACTTCCACACCTCTGAGAAGTGTAGAACTAAGTAAAGAATGACAGTGGTTTCGTATGACCAGGGGAAAAGTGTTACATTATCCTGACTTTGTCAGACTTTTCCACACTTCCACACCTCTCAGAAATGTAGAACTAAGTAAAGAATGACAAGGGGTTCTTAACAGGGGGAAAAGTGCGACAATATCCTTACTTTGTCAGACTTTTCCACACTTCCACACCTCTGAGAAGTGTGGAACTAAGGATGAAAAAGGAAAGTAGGGATCTTGTGGCCAGCACTGGACATTTGTGTTTTGTTCAGAAAAGCCGTTTTACGGAAATTATTCGACATTAGATTCTCATACAAACACTGTAATTTTTTACGCGTTTGCCTACTCGTCAAGATGGCGTCGAAAACCGTGACAGTTAAAACAGCGAGAAATGGTAATTGCTTGACATGAATAATAACACTTAAATAAGCACTTTGCATGATTTTAGCCACAAGATTTACTTTTATTGTTGAAAAAAGTTGGAAAAAACATACATTTTCTTTCGAAACGGCTTGACCACCTGCTGCGTATTACGTCATATCTCGTTACCATAGAAACTGATCATCACTGAACTTGTCTCAAAATGCGTGCGAGGGATAAACGGCCATCTACTGAAAACGTCAGGTGCTGATGTTTTATCCTCTTGGAAAAATCCCAGAAAAACTTAAGGGGGTTGGCATCCACCCCCCTCCACCCCTTGTACGTCCGAGGGTTAAAGTGTTATTTCTTCGAGAAAGGAAAATATGGCAAAGGACATGCTTGTTAGAGTCAAAACGTTAAAGGTATAAGATGTGCAGCCTCAGTCACCCCTTGCAGTTTTTCCCTAAGAATAATTTAAGTGTCCAAAAGGCTGGAGTCTATTAATTACCGGTAATTAATTACTTTTTATTGTGCCCTGTAGTCGACAAGGAAACCAAGTTCGCATTTACAATAAAAGGTTTGGTGATTTTATCAGTACTCATGATATTCATAATATTTTGGCAAACAATGGTGAAATAAATTATCATGTTGCATAAACAAACAAGAGTTAATGAAGTTTAAGCGCAATCAAATGATGCATTCTTACAAGTTTTACTCTTTCCTTAGGGATCAAAGTCTTGAAACTGGGTGAAATACATAAAAAATATTAATGATTAACAAGCGTTTTTAGTTATTAACTGAGATTTTTCAACAACCGACAAAAATCAAAAAGTTTCACCGACTACCGACAAAGATCGAAAATTTTAACCGACTACCGACAAAGTAACTGAATTTTAACCGACAACCGACAAGTGGACCCCCAATTCAGACCCTCAAAAATCTATCGGAAATCACGGCCCGCAACCAGATGCTACTAAAACCTTATGAAAAAGCTAGACCTAAACAAAAAAGAATCATGAATTTGACTTAGGTCGCCTTTCGTGACTTGCCAGTATCCCGAAGGATTTCGCTGGTTAACAAGCCATCCTAAACCACGAGTGGCAAAACTCAAGGGCGACAAATTTGGCAAGGAGCGTTCTTCAGAGGAAGCAAATCGATTAAAAATCGATACAGATTTTGTACAGCCTAATTGGTCGGCTTGGAAGAAGAGATAATCGATAAAGATTTTAGGCAATCCTATTAGCTGGCTTTGCAATTTTGGATACAACCGAACCGGATTTTTACCGTGGGAATGCCACAGGCATCCCACGGAATAGAGGAATACCTTTGATCATGTTGGCAGCTGTTTTAAATGCCACATCTAGAAGTCCTTCGATATCGAGGTAGTTTGCAGCCTGCAATAAAAGAACAGTTCATTAACCCAAACCATATTATTTTAATGCATACACTGTACCTTAAAGGGTAGCTCAGTTGATAATTTTTCTATTACAGCAGGATCGTGAAACATTTGAATGAGGCAGGTACAAAAATCGGACCGGATCAACTCGGACCAACTCAGATCGAATAAAAAAATAAAAACAAAATAAAATTGGACTTGGATCAACTCGGATCAATAAAGAAATTAAATTAAATCAGCAAAACTGAAAGTTTAACCCATTTTTGGAGGGTAAAAATGGCCAGATCATCCTTTTTTTCTCCGTGGCTTTCAGCTGCCATTTTGTTTGATTAGTGCCAGTTCCTCTCGGATGATGTTACGAACTCGTGATTGCATTACACGACGCGTTCTGTTTCAAGGACACTGCCGATGGATGACCTCCAGGAAGGTAACATCTCGACCATCTTTCTCAATGAATTTGCTTCATTCCGGTTTCACTGTCAACTTAATTAGTCTGGCAAAGTATTAATCAAATTTTGGTTGCTAAAAATTGGTCAAGTTTTGGTTATCACGTGGAGTTTCTTGTTCTAAACATTCTTTTCTGTATGAAAATTAATGCACTGTAATAATTACTTAGTTGTCAGATTTGTATCAGAGGCTAATGAGGGAATGGTAGAATTCACGTTGAAATTTACTCAGTGAGCCCAAGGACCAGTGCCGCTACCTCTCCCGGATAATCTGGGAGACTCCAGATTTTAGACCGTATATCTCCCGGTCTCCAAATTAGAATCAATCAATCAATCAATAATCTTTATTTATACACGATAAGTATTTAAAGCGACGCTTCGCTTGTGGGGTCGTGTCTAAATAACTAAATAAGATAACTAATGAATTAGAAAATAAATAGGATATACACCAGCTAAAATCATATAGCTACTAACTACTTACAAGTCTAAAACGATAAAAGCTTTAAATTATGAAGTACAAGGTGGTACTCTAGTATCGACTAATTATTAACACTAATTATACTTAAAATCTTCCTCCCTTCTGGTTAA